GTACTCGGTCGCGAGTACATGGTCACGAGTGGTCGGTAATGTACTCGGTCGCGAGTACATGGTCACGAGTGGTCGGTAATGTACTCGGTCGCGAGTACATGGTCACGAGTGGTCGGTAATGTACTCGGTCGCGAGTACATGGTCACGAGTGGTCGGTAATGTACTCGGTCGCGAGTACATGGTCGCAAATGCTCGGTCACAGTCACTCTGCCCCGAGCACATGGCTACCATGATTCATGACAATGTGCCTGAAACGTTGAATTTTGTGAATACACCTAATGTGGAGCGTGCGCATGAGCTCCCAGTGCCAAATGCGGAGAAGAGGTTACAAAAATCATGTTGAAAACCGATAATAGCGCGCCGCAGCTGCGCGGACATTTTGGGCGTGTCCGTAAAAGCGACATTACGTGTCCTCAGTCTTCTTAATTGTGCGCGTCTGACGGGAAGTTGCGACGGTCAACATATTAACCCACGTGGATATTTACACATGACATAACTTTGCTAAAGGGGCGAACACGTGCCCGGGAGGGAGGGGGGGGGGGGGCTGTTTTTGGTGCGTGCGCCCTGCCTGCTTGCTTATGTCGTATGACAGCACCTACTGGTAGATGGAAGGGGGATCTTGGTCAGAATAATTATTTTCCAGCTCGTGACGCTGAATTGGACCTCTCGGATAAGCTTCGACTGATCACGTGTGCGTTGTGTCGAGTCAGACATACAGGGAACGAAAAATACAAACCGGCTTGATGCTCCCAGTCTCCACCGGGCCGGCCCAGCCGTCACATAGGCGTCCCGCTGATGGCCAAAGTGTCACTTACCATTTGTCTGAGCAGCATCCGGTGGCTCCTGTTGCGACTTGCTGCAGTCTCAACACGTCCTCGGTGGCTGGATCGCCAACAGCCGTCACTTCTCAGTGGTGAGGCGGCTGGCGAAAATGTATCTGGCGCCAGTGCTCGACGGACGGCCATGGGAAAACTGTCCTTGAGACAGTTAAACAGCACATTGTGCTCCTAATTTTGTGCGTCCACCGCTGCCTGCTCACGTCCTCTGGCCTGGGCGGCACCCGAGGCCGGCCGGGGACGGAGCTTCAGCCCACAGGCCGTCACACTGACGGCCGGCCGGCCGGTTGTGATCGATACTGCACAATGCTCTGCCATTATGATGGAGCCGGCGCCAGCGATGTGAGGCACTCGAGGGTCGCCTGGCACGCGCCTCGCCACGCCCACCAGCACATCTGTCTGGCGAGCCGGGCTAGAGTCGCGCACGGCGCCACTCACTAAAGCCATGCCACTGCTGTAAGGCATGCTCTATTCCTTAGGGCAGCTAGAGTCGCGCACGGCGCCCACTCACTGAAGCCATGCCACTGCTTTAAACGCATGCTCTCTTCCTTAAAGCAAATAGAGTCGCGCACGGCTCCACTCACTACAAGCCCTGCTTTTGCTGTAAGGCATGCTCTCTTCCTTAGGGCAGGAGGTTTTTGGCTTGCTGTCCGGTTTGAATGTGCAATATTATTTCCTATTCAAAACCAAAGTACATTTTTGTTTGTGAGAGCAGGCAATTACTTCATGGCTTTCTTGACAGTTTAATCGTTGATGCTATGACGTTGCAGGTCCCCGATGTGACTGGGGATACCAGTCCTGTGTGGTCGGATTTACTGCAAGCTGCAAACACTGTGCGCTACGATTCCAAGTGGCGAGGGCTATATTGATCATTGCCGCTATGGTTATGAATTTTGGGGGCAAAATATTGCACCGTAGCCTACGGCCGGTGCCTACCCTCACTGCATTGACTCAACGCAGAAAGGTGTGATCAGGACAACCGCAGTGAGCAGCTCGTAAAAGCCGTTTCTTTCGGCGGCAATGTCCGTATACGAGCATGTGGGGTGTCCTCATTAAGATCAGCCCTAAATTTAGGACTCAGTGCCAAACAAGCCAAATTTGAATATACGCGACGATTGTGCACCAGACCTGTGACAATACTTCTGTCTTCATTTCTAGTCCAAGAGTCCTCGAAGAAGGCGGGAAGCAGCGCTCTTCTCCTCGTTTACTCAGCAGCAAGTGTCAGAGTTCAAGGAGGGTTTCGCCATCATGGATGCCGACCGCGACGGCATCCTCAACAAAGCAGACATCAGAAACTCATTTGACATCATCGGCAAGATCATCTCAGAAAAAGGAACTGGACGAGATGCTTAACGATGCTCCTGGTCCCATCAGCTTCACCATGTTCGTCACATGTTTGCCGAGCGGCAGTCAGGGCCCACTGACGAAGACGAGGTCATCATTAAGGCTTTCAAGGCCTTCGACAGGGGCGACGGTAAGATAGATTCAGAGCCGTTCCGCGGCCAGCTCATGTCCTTTGGCGACAAGATGAAAGGGAAGGAGGTCGACGACGTCATTGGCGGAGATGGAGTTCGACGAGGAGAATAACATCGAGCGGACCCGCTGATTGAGATGATAGTCGGCAAGACGGAGGAAAGAACGCCGAGGGACAGGGCGAGGCGCCCGCCGAGTAGAACCCGGTACGTCGGCCCCTCACTATCGGCACCCGGATCGTCAACCCTTCACCCGGTATGTCACGTCTTTACCCCCGGTACGTCGGCCCTTCAACCCGGTACGTCAATCTTCACCCGGTGCCAGTCCTTTACCCCCGATACATAGGCCCCTTCACCCGGTATGTCAGTCCTTCACCCGTACGTCAGCTTTCACCCGGTATGGCCAGTCCCTCACCTGGTACGTCGTCCCTCACCCGGTGTGTTAGCCCCTCACCCGGTATGTCAGTCCTTCACCCGGTACGTCAGTCCTTCACCCGGTGCGTCAGTCCTTCACTCGGTATGCCAATCCTTCACCCGGTACGTCAGTCCTTCACCCGATACGACAGCCTTTCACCCGGTATGCCAGTCCCTCACCTGGTACGTCAGTCCTTCACCCGGTGTGTTAGTCCCTCACCCGGTATGTCAGTCCTTCACCCGGTACGTCGGCCCTCCATCCGGTAGTTCTGCCCATCACCCGGTACGTCAGTCCTTCACCCGGTATGTCAGTCCTTTACTCGGTATGTCAGTCCTTCATCCGGCACGTCGGACCTGCACCTGACGCGTCCGTCTCTTTCGGTATGTCTGTCTCACGCGTCCAGTCATCCCATCCGCTACTCATGTGTGACCCGTAAACCTGACTATTCAAGCCGCATACCTAACTGGGCACGCGAATGGCTGGCTGGCGCGCTCAGCAGGCCTGTGACCTATGGCTGGCGCGCTCAGCAGGCCTGTGACCTATGGCTGGCGCGCTCAGCAGGCCTGTGACCTATGGCTGGCGCGCTCAGCAGGCTTGTGACCTTCCTATGGCTGGCGCGCTCAGCAGGCCTATGACCTTCTATGCGCTGCGCGATGCGTTGGCCCGAGTATTACGTGTCCACGTGACTCTTGGCCGTGTTGCGCTGACCACCTCGGCCCTTTGAAGACTAAAGTGAATCGCGTTCCATCCCACGTACAGTGGTCTTGACCTAGGGCTGACTGGTTACAGGATCGTCACCGTGACCTTTCATCTTTCCAAGCAACCCACTGACCCGAACACAGCTGTTCCGGGACCTGGGACTCGACCGGGTCGAATAGTGGCGCCGCGGCGCGGGAACCGCGGGAACCAGGTGCTCGGGCGCCCGCGGGCCCTGCCGCCGCCGCGCCCCGTCCCCTGCCTTTGGCCCGCGCGCGGCGCGAACACAAGTTCCGTGCGCCGCGAAGGGGGCGCGCGTCTCTCATCCCTGTGCCGGCGCCCGCTGGCGTCTCTGCTGGTCCGAGCGACAGTCGTGATGTCCTCGCGGCGCTCCAATAAACTCCGGGCCGACCTGAGCGCGTCTTGTCCTCGGCCCGCGGCGCACCGGCTCTGCGACCGGCCCGCCGGCAGCACGGCGCCGGGCCGGCCGCATGCCTGGCAGCGGCGTCGCAGATAGCGCCACGGGGACGCGACGGCCCGGTCGGCGCGCGCAAAAATAGCGCGCGCCCGCCGACCCAGGACGGGGACGATGAGGACAGGCCTGTTCGCGCGAGACCGGCCGCCCTGACGGGCTTCAAGCGCGCCGGCGGACGAGGGGAGGCCGGCTCGGCTCTCCGCGCCTCCGCCGGGCGCCAGTCTGCCCTGAGCTGGGGTAGCGGGCGGACGGCCACCGGTACCGGACGACCGTGAAGGTAGCGGACGTGACCGCTCGGCTGTCCTGCTGGTGGTCACACAAGCTCCAGCCTCACAAGGCCACCCTAAACGCCTGTGCCCAAAAACGTGGTGCAGGGATAGCTAAACGCAGCTTCAGCCGGAGAACTTGACTTTTCATGATTGTATGAAATTTGTATGAAAATCACGTCCGTAACAACTTTTCTCGGTTCACTTCGTGCTGAAATCATGTCAATGTTCACATGACGTCACCCGAGCAGATATCAACACGCTATCCAAATTAGGCGCCCAACATCCCATAGGATCAGATGATAATGGGAAGCGTTCAACTAGACAAAATAAAACAGCGGTGTCTGGGAACTCGCAGTAACAAAAACTATGAGTTGGTGCAACGGCGCTGCGGCGGAACGAGCAGTTACCAAGTACGCATTGCCGAAGAGATCAACACTCAGATAACTATCCGTGACACAAAAACAGCGCTGGCCTCCCATAAACCAGGGCCAACAAAGAGGTTCGCCGACGGCTTCCGTAGCTCAAGCAATCAGGCACACGGCAACACAATCCGCATTGCAATCGGGAAGAACGTTTCAGCCACCGCATCTTGGAAACCGATATGAAGCGTTCTGCCCCACGACCTGCACGTTGCTGGCCCCAGTGGATGTAACAAACATGGCACATGCGCATCGCATGGCACATAACGACTGTGTAGAACATATATACATATAGCTCGCTTCATAAAAAAATATTTTAAGCGTTAACAACTAATAATGAGTGGAACATTTTTACCACAGTGTTAAGTAGCTGAAACACTCCAGTAAAAAAGATCGCGTAGAGATATTACGCCCGGTCGGTTCGGTCAGTTCTGTCTGGCGTACAGCCTCGAAAACGACCTGTTTGTATGTTTCGCGAATGTAACGCTGTTAACAGAACAATGACCTACAAATTGTTCTCATTCGTACTCCCTGCTTTCCGTCCCACGAAACGCGCACCCATGCACAACAGCCTGGCCCAGTGTGCTAGGCTGCGCATCTGACTGCGCGGAGACATAACAGGCATGACAGCATAACCTTAACATCGTATCGCACTGTAGCAGACCACAGGAGCAAGACGCTCTGGCGGCGGGTGCCGCGTCACAACATTCGTCACCCCAGCACAGTACGGGGACGAGCGAGACCTGTGGCCGCGGCAAGCCTTCGCGTAGAACCGGATAAAAGCGATCATCAATTCGCGAAAGCGTCAAAACACACACTCCCGCGTACAACTGCATACTTACTGGCCCCCATGATACTGGCCGAAGGTTACATTTGCGCGCATAAATAGCGTTGCAGCACGTTCCTGTACTGGTCTTGGACCACATCTCCGTAGTGGAGGTGGTCGCGGCAATTCCAGAGAGGCGATTCCTTTGGTTGCCGGCGCCACGCCTCGTCCAGCCGACACCTCACGATGTAGTTGGCGACAGGTGGCAGCACCGACGACCACAGGCGCACGGAGGGCGCCACCTGCTCCCTGCGGCAGGGCACAAGGGACATAAGTGGTGGTGGTGACCGACTGGTGGAAATCGAACCCCACGTCGCCAGCCATGGACAAAGTGCACACTGGGACACATTAAGGTAACTCCTGTTCTTAACACGGAACACGCAGCTGTGCACAAAGCGCACGCAAGTGCATGCACTGACCGCTTTTCACACCTAAGTCCCGTGCCCCGACCGCTTCCAGCTCGAGCCGACATCACGTGCACCGCCGCCGTCGTGACCGTTGCGCCAGGTCAGACGAACGCCGGAGGCGGACCGGCCCCAGCCGCCCTGTTCGCCACTGGGCCGCTCGGCCGGCCGGCCGGCGACACTCACACAGCCGGTCGGTGATGAGCGCGTTGTAAATGAGGTGGGCGAAGTTGACGGAAGAGGCGATGTCCATCATGTGCTCGTAGTTCTCCGGCTCGCTGAGCTTCCAGAAGACGCGCACGCCCACGGCCGCCAGCTGCTGCAGCACGGCCGCCGCCTGGTGGCCACAGCACGGATGTCACACGGCCGGCAGCGGCCGATGCCGGCGATCCAGCCTGCTCCTCCGGCACACCCACAGCCACGCGTGTCAGGAGCCCGCCAAGAACAGCTGCGGATGCCAGTGATGTTGTTCAGAACATAACGATTTCGAAAGCACATTGCCTGCCTTGAAAAAACAGTAATGAAAACAACAGATGGCGTGACAGAGCAGCCAGGCATTGCGTTACAAAGACCAGCCAGAGCAGCCCCCTTCTGTGGCTGAGCGCCGCCGCATACCCGCTCGATGCCGGCCACCTCGGCCAGCAGGCAGGCGTCGAACGACGGCTGGGGTGTGGTGAGCACGTGCGTGCCCAGGCTGAGCACCAGCACGTGGGGACAGGAGGCCGGTCGGGCCCGGCACTCCGTCAGCATCGTCCGCAGCACGTCCAGCAGCGCATCGTCCGCCAGCCGACTCCAGAAAGAAGCGCTGCCGGACACGCACGGCCGGCGGTCAGGAGGCCGGTGGCGGGGCGACAGCAGCGCTGATCAGCCAAGGCCGAAGCTGGCGCCGCTGCTCACACTCAGGACAGGTCAAACGCGCAGGGATCATAGCGCGGCACAGCTGTGACAGCGGTCATACACCAAGTCCGTAACACGGTTAATTTTTCAACCCACTTGCCGTCACACACAGGACATTTTAGCATCATGTCTTGCTTCGTTTGTGAAGTACGACACCATCCCGGAGGTCTACTTTACACTGCCCGACATTTGCTTTCTTCTCTGTGCTGCTTTGCAGATTGAGAGTGACACCAGAAAACACCAGCGTTCGGTCAGCACATGCATGACGCTGCAGAAGGCATGTAAGGTTCACAAAAAGCTTTCCAATGCGTAAAACGATAACGCCTTTTCCAAGTCAAAGGTGCCAAGCGCGGGGAACTTTGCACGCTCTGGGAGACAGCGCAGGCTGACCTCGTCCACATCACGCCAGTAAAGGCTTTGATAATGTGAGACCGCGGGGTGAGACGTTCCGACCCGTCGGTGGCTCACAATCTCGGCGTGACAGACCAAACAGCCGATCGCATACGTCATGACGCCCAAACATTCCCACAATTACCTCAATGCGGATACCAAAACGGCTAGCGCATGAGCACCAGGAGAAGAGGCTCCATTTGGCGCGGCAAGGCCTACAAAGTTACCAACAAGAGGGAGATCGATTTGTTGAATGAATTGCTGTCGTAGACGCGCTGATTTGCGCTGTTAAATCCAGAGACTAAGTGGCCGTCGATGCGGCGAAGCACGCAGCCACACCACCTCACTAAACGGTCACGTGGCGGCACCCTGCGAACAACAGTACTCACGCCATACCTTGGAACCACACGAGGGACGTGACATTAGCTCTCCCAGCTGCCCCAGATCCCGCTGCCACAGGCCAGTCGTGCGTAACCACCCCGAGCAAGCATCTCCAGGCGGCCATCACCAAAAACCGTCCACGGAAGACGGGCGGCCGAATCATCACCGCGACAATGCTCCACCCCATCACGCCGCTGTTGGGACGGAGTGTAGCTGACGACGGCATCGAGCTGGTGAAGCGCCCACGGTACTGCCCGCGCCTCGGCCCGCGTTGCCCCTGGTTCTTCACTCGAATAATGCACCACTGTTGCGGCCACTGCGACGTTGACGCGTGGTCCGCACTGGGGTCGGCAGTATTTCGGTATGACGCCTCCCCCCCCCCCCCCCCCCAACAGTCTCGGTGAAAGCCATGGAACATCTCGTACACTTCCGCGAGCGCCGCACTAAAAAGGAAAAACGTTGGTAAATGGGCTATCCTATGGATGACGAGTATATGCCAACCAATGGCCAGTCAGTCGCTAGCGGAACTTACTGTTGAAATGCACTGGCATTTGCACCAGATTTCCGATCGAAAGTACGGTAACGGCATCACTAGAATGAAGAGCTCTGGAGCCCTGCAAGAGTACTTTAGACTATCGTGTGGGCACAAACGACCACACTGAACACCAGGGGTGACGTCGACGGGACCAGAGCTGGTAAACGTTGCCCTCGATGGCACGTGACACACGGAGACGCCCGGGAGTCCTTAGTCTCGGCCGAGCCATCCGGCACGCGCGGCCAGTCCACGTCTCCCACCAGCACGCACCAGGTCAACGAGAGGCGAGCTGGCGCGGTAGTGGCACCAGTCGGTGCGGTTCTTGTACACGAAGTGTGTGAGGCAGTCGGTGCCGTTGCGTGTGTGGGCGGGCAGCCGCCAGCGCCGGCGCAGGTGGCTGTAGAGGCCGCGGCTGCGCGAGTCGCCCACCAGCGCCAGGTGCAGCCGGCGCCCGAGCGCGCGCCCCAGCCGCGCCAGGCAGGCGGCCGTCTCCGGCGCCGAGGCGTTGTGAGGGAAGTCGCCGAGCGCGCCGGCCGGCCAGGCGGCCGCCGGCCGCTCCAGCTGACAGTGGCCCGTCATGGTGAGGGCCGTCGGCGGCGGCGGCCGAGACAGCTCGACCGGACCTGCCGGCAGGGTCACCACTCAGGCTCCCGCTGGTGACAGCAGGGTCATCACTCAGGCTCCGGGTGGTGACGGCAGGGTCACCACTCAGGCTCCCGCTGGTGACAGCAGGGTCATCACTCAGGCGCCCGGTGGTGACGGCAGGGTCACCACTCAGGCTCCGGGTGGTGACGGCAGGATCACCACTCAGGCGCCCGGTGGTGACGGCAGGGTTACCACTAAGGCTCCCGGTGGTGACGGGCGTGCGGCTCGACCCACTGCCAGTCGGTGACAGACGGTGAAACTCGGCCACTGAGAACTTTGACCATTTTTGTTTGTAAAAATGCGCTTTGGCTCAATGAGTGTGAACAAACAAGATGTTTATACAGTCTCAGCATGACAATAGGCAAGCAAACCTGATGGCCTACAAGCATTCCATGTATTGGACACCTGCAACAAATGCAGGCACAATCACCCACATGTAGAGTTGAACTCACTTGATGGTAGTCCAGCATGTTGAGAGTTTGATGCATAGTGCTCACTTTGGCTTGATACCATAGCATGCAAGAATAAACTACAACTCAACAGCACTCCTACCATTGATGATGATATAACTACTGACAAAAGCCACACAAAGAGCCTCTTCCACTTTTTGGTGGCACACAGATAAGGCTGCAGGGGTTCTTTTGTAAACTGGACCTTCATGACTTGCGGATATCTGCCGGACACAACACACTGCAGTGGGAAGAGCAAATCTGCTCACACAAGTTTGCACAGCCTGCACTGGCACGGTTTTAACACTCTGCTTCATTTGAACATTTCCTTTGAACAAAACATTTCTCAACCTTTATTTCCAAACAGAACCATTTTGTCAAAATTATTGTCCACACAGATACTTCATGTTAGTTGCAAATATGTGAAGCACCACACAGTTGAGCGCCATACATGTGTAAGACGAGCTCAGCTTGCAAATGACCTTCCAACAGCTGACTTCACAGTAATTTTGTCCCGCCCCTGACTGATGTTCCTAATTCAGTAGTTTCATTTTCAGCAACTTAAATGGATGCAATGATTCACCAGCTATTTGTGGAAGGCTATAAGCCGTAATTAGTTCATGTAAGGTGCGGAGAAGCTTGCTACCCCCTGTCTTGGGTCTCCGAAATAGTAGCAAAAAGAACAGAGTACAAGGGGCGCATTGTGCTTGGAGAATAACACCATTAAACTTGATACACAAAGACAATGATGATCAAAACTAAATATCAAACAAATCATGGGCAGTCAGACATATTGGTCACCAATTTTGTGTAAATGTCAGAAATACCAGGAGCACCTCCACCTAACTTGGTACCTGCACAAATAAAAGACAAAGGAACAGTATTTTTCACAATCATCTTTAGAGAGCTCGATCACTTCACAGTGGGGCAGCCACGTTCCCGTCGTCAGTCAAAGGGCGTCCTGCACAGTAAGAGTGGCTTATGGCTCTCTACGACGTTCGACCTGAACTTAACATGCTGGCAGGTTCCAGCAGCCACAGGGGACCGTCGGGAGCCACGTGCACCGCCAGGAATAACAAATGAGGAGCTTCGCGTTATGCGGTTGGGGCAGAGAACACGCCGGGCTGATCCTTCCACGGCACCGATGTGCTCAGCGGACCACCACCTCACGGAGTGGCAGCGTGCCAGGATGAGGGCCAGACACTGGCAGAATGGCAGTGTACTGGGATGAAGGGTCAGACACTGGCAGAGTGGCAGTGTATGGGGATGAGGGGCCAAACACTGGCAGAGTGGCAGTGTATGGGGATGAGGGGCCAGACACTGGCAGAGTGGCAGTGTACTGGGATGAGGGGCCAAACACTGTCGGAGTGGCAGTGTATGGGAATGAGGGGCCAGACACTGGTGGAGTGGCAGTGTTTGGGGATGAGGGGCCAGACACTGGCAGAGTGGCAGTGCACTGGGATGAGGGACCAGATGCTGGAGGAACACTTATCGCTACCACAGACTGTGTTCCAGAGAAGGCACCCAGAAGAGGAAGGACTCTAGGCTGGTCTCACATCGGTGTCCAATACCATTTCGGGCAGATTTGCCCAGCTCCAGTATCAGTCTTGGGACTGCAGCTGGATCCCCACAAGGTGGGAGCGATCAGGCAAGCATCTGTTGGTTCTGCAACGACTCACTTCTTGGTTTCTTCGACACAAGCATGAAAATTGCGGTAATTTCGGTGCGGGCAGGACTTACTACCCAACTACTGAACTACTAACTACTGCCGCGCTGTTCGGTTGTCGCCAGTACAAATCAACGGCAGTGACGTCTGGGTCAGCAGCCCTGTGGCAACTTATCATCATCGGCCTGATGGAATACCTCGCCCAACGCCGATGGGTCGGAGAAGTCGGCACGGCCTTGTGGCCTTGAGCTTGATGACAAAGAGCACTGAGTTTGCAACAACTCCCAACAAGACAAACTGGATGCATGGCACTGGATAAGCTTGCACACTGTCATGGACTTTCAGAATCACTTTGGGGAGTCTCTTCAGATGGACGGGCCTATGGAATTCAACAACGGTGCCGTGGCAGTGTTCACAAGGTCACTGGGTATCATGTAAAGCTTAAGAGTGTCATCCATCTATAGTTGAGCAGGCATTCAGCAGCCAACTCAAGCCTGGGTACCACTCATAGGTGGCACAGCCAGACAAGCATTCTTCAGACCAAGCTACCACCATGCAGCTTGAAGGGCCCGATACTGGCAGAGCTTCTGACTTCAAAGCATACCAGGCTGGCTCCTCACTTCAAAGCCATATCCAAAGTCAAGTCAGTAACTGACTTGACCAACTGTTGCTTAAAATAAGCCCAAGTTGAAGCCAAAACTGCTGGTTTTGGAGGTCAGAACTGCAAAGCTGAATCCAAAGGCAGTGGCCCTGAACATGAACACATGAACTTGAGCTCTGCTCTGCTCTGAACAGCCCCGAACTTAAGAAATGTCAAACCAGAAACAACTCATCCATCTGTAATCAAACATCATAAACATCATACCACTTTCCTAGTGTGATTAAAGGGTTAAGATACAGGATGAAATATTTTGAAATACCATCCTTGCCATGTCTTTGTGCAAATGCAATATTTCAGACAGTAATGCCTCTGGCCATTGCCATGTTAATTGGCTTTGAGAACAGATGACTGGTTTCAGCTTTCAGCCATACATGTTTTGCACCCTTTAACAGTTGTGTGATATACTGAGGTGGCAGAACAGAAAATACCACTTTTTATGAGTAAAGTTGCAATTATGATGAAATAATTATCATGAAAAAGCCATAGGTAAAAGCTCACATTCAAAGTTTGCAAAGGTGTAAATACTGCATGTAGCACAAGCCCTGATCCTAGAAATCCATCTGTTCAAAAGGTTCAGATGAAATATTTTTAGAAATATGGGTCAGATGAGACCAACCAGCAAAGATAACACAATCATAAATGGTGCCTGTCACAATACCAACCACTTCCCCCTCCAAAAAATATGGTAAGTGTAAAGGGAATCATGCTAGGGAATGAAGAAGTTTAAACTGAAGGGGGAATTTTGGTACAAGTGGGAATAGTCCAATTATATCTCTGCTTAGGGCTGAGAAGAGGAGGGACCCTAGTCTGGAGAGAGATACAGTGTGGCAGGCGTGGTAAAAAAGATTGGTTTCTCTGCGCTGAACATACAGCTATGCAGCGGTTCGATCCTTACCACGCAGCCTAGCAAGAAAGTACTAAACAGCAAATGAAGTCTATCTACCTCAGCTGTGTGAGCAGATCACAAAAGATGGGAAGGGACACAAAATACTGGTGATAAATAGCTGGAGGCCACCGACAGCTTGGCTTGAATGCAATGCGACCTTACTCATTTACCGACATAAATCCAGTGACACCATGTAGAGTCAGCGAGATGATTGCAATCCGGCGCTATAATTCATTCGGCTCATCTGTACCTTGTTACCTACAATGGTGCGCAATATTTGGGGCCGGACCGCCGATTTGACCAGCAGACATAGCGTCGCCTTTGAAGCCAAATAGAGATATAGATAGAGATATATTTTTAGAGAGTCGTCAAACTTCGGAATATTTTTCTGATGCCTGTTTCTATCGATGAAATATCTTTTAAAAATTAACTATATACTCAATTCTGCATGAGTAGCCTTAAACTTGAAAATTGTAGTGTAAAGTTTTTAACGACGTCATAAAAGATGAGCCAATCACAACTTTACTACAAAAACATACCCTGCCGATGTTTTTCGGAAACATGCTATCGTATTTTTCGGTACCTTGTGTGCAGTTTGCGTTAGTGGGTGGTGTCGGGTGTATGTCTGGTGCGACCTCGATGGTGTGGTTGTCCGGGATGTAACTAGGAGGATGTGCCGAGGCATTATTGATGCAAATTAGATTATGAGAGTGATATCGCTATCAATAAGAATCACTTGGGAGTAGTGTCGTCCGGGGTAAGTGCCAATTCTGGTGTATTTCGGCATTGTCATACTGGCGGACCAGGATCTGAATCCGTTCTCGTGGTTTGTGACTGCGGAAGACACGTAGTATTTAGTTCTCATGGAACGAATGGGGGCGTTTTGAATTTAAGTTGGCTTTTTGCTGTTTTCAAACTACGTTTTTCCCCATCGATGTCAACACAAATATCCAGGACCAAAATGCTGCCTTAATAACAATACCACCAGACCAGCCTACAAAAAACACATGCTACGCCAAGCACTAAACATGGCTGACATAGCTTATTACATTGCAGGAACAATTTTGGTGCATGTATTCTAAAGGGAGGTGTCCTGTGTTTAGTAGACATCCAATGGACACTGCTAATTTAACTGATTAAAGGCAAATAAAATGCTCCAGGAATGTGTATGTATAAATAGTAATTCCAGATAAAATTATCCCTTAAAATATTTTGCAAACAAGACAGTTGGAACTGAGAGATCTGGTCAGTAAATGGATATTCTCTCAATTGGCCACCATGTGGTGGCCACATTTCTTTCAGTCATTGGTAAAAATACAGCTTTGCAGAACTGTGATAGCATAAACTCTAGCTGATGCAACTGTACCAAAGAAGTGAAGGATTAAAACTTTCTTTACAATTAACCTCATGTGTTTTTCTCATGGTAGGTCTGGTGCCAGTTAATTGCTTACCAAAATATGCCATGCTACCATGTTTTTAGATGTTTCTGCTATGATGCTGCTGCAGCTATTCAAGTGGAATGAAAAAATCCTATAAGTTCATCATTGCATGTACCTTGAGCTATGTTCCTCATTGTTTCCAAGTTATTTTGATGACAAGGCTATGTGCAGGTCAGGTACATATGACACTGATAAACACCACAAGCTGTTTCTATACTCAGTTTTTTAGTAGCCTTTTTCCCTTTATGAAAATAATTAGAATGTTTTAGATGCATTTTAGCATTTTAATAATACAGTGATTTATAAATTGCTGGTTGTCCCTTGTGTATCATTGTACTTTGAAAGCTTTCAGCTTATATTTCAACAGTTACTTACTGCCCCTGGCCTTTTACTAGTTGGCACACATGTCAGTATGGGAATGAGCTGGTCAGGTCTATTGAATATTTACTTTAGAAATGGGTTTGGAGATAAAAGATGACCAGAATATTTAAGCAGTGTCAGGTATTTTTTATCCTGAGAAAGCACATTAAGATATAAACAACTTGACTGAGTGAAACTTGACTGTGGTCTATATATATATATATATATATATATATATATATATATATGTATATATATATATATATATATTATAGAAAATAAAGAAGAGTAGATAGTCTATGAAAGCAGCCATGCTAACAGCAAATATAGCTGATCACTGAAACATGCCCACCAAATGCACTGGCAGCTAAACATTTGATTATTTTCATCAAACAATTAGATGCAGTATGTGCTTGCATACAACACACTGGCAAGCAGTTAGTTTACTATCTCAGATTTTACTCATCAGTGGCCATGCCTGATAGAAAGCACAGGGTGTGTTACAACCATGCTGCATTTGTGAGGTGCTGGCTACAGCAGTTTTCCAGACGGGGGTCCCGTGCTGTTCCACATGTTCAGTGACACAGTGGTGAAATTCTGCAAGATCAATGCCTGGGAATCATAAACAGTTTCTTCTGTGTGTGTGTGTGTGTGTGTGTGTGTGTGTGTGTGTGTGTGTGTGTGTGTGGCGTGCGTGCGTGCGTGCGTGCGTGCGTGCGTGCGTGCGTGCGTGCGTGCGTGCGTGCGTGCGTGCGTGCGTGCGTGCGTGCGTGCGTGCATGCGTGTGTGTGTGTGGAAACATCTGCTTTATTGTGAGTTGCTGAGAAAGGATAAGTGTACATTCACACTATTGTTCAGTCATATGTTTTGTGTGTTTTCAGACCTTAGGTGAAGTAGTGGAAGATCTTCAAATCGCAGTTGGTCAGAAGGTGAAATCCAATAAGTGTATGATGGCAGAACAGCTTCAGAAAGCACCAAAGAAAGGAATCTTAAAGAATTCTACCAGCTTTGACAAAAATGAAAGGAAGTCGTAAGTTTTTGTTACTTTGCTCTTTGCCCTCTGCCTGTAAGTGAAAGGCTGAATTGAGTGAATGTGATAAATAGATGGAAAGTTGAGCTTTGGTGTCTCCTAGTGTACATGGTCATGTGGTGACAGGGAGAGGGGGAGGTTGTAATGGCTGAGTGGTTAGTGACAGGGAGAGGGGGAGGTTGTAATGGCTGAGTGGTTAGTGACAGGGAAAGGGGGGAGGTCATAATGGCTGAGTGGTTAGTGGCAGGGAAAGGGGGAGGTCACAATGACTGAGTGGTTAGTGACAAGGAGAGGGGGGGGGGGGTTGTAATGGCTGAGTGGCTGGTGACAGGGAGGGGGGAGGTTGTAATGGCTGAGTGGTTAGTGACAGGGAGAGGGGGGGAGGTCATAATGGCTGAGAGGTTAGTGGCAGGGAAAGGGGGAGGTCACAATGAACTGAGTGGTTAGTGACAAGGAGAGGGGGGGGGGGGGGGTTGTAATGGCTGAGTGGTTAGTGACAGGGAGAGGGGGGAGGTCATAATGGCTGAGAGGTTAGTGGCAGGGAAAGGGGAGGTCACAATGACTGAGTGGTTAGTGACAAGGAGAGGGGGGGGGGGGGGGGGGTTGTAATGGCTGAGTGGGCTGGTGACAGGGAGGGGGGAGGTTGTAATGGGTGGGTGGCTAGTGCCCTGGACAATTAATGGTTACACCATGGTGTAATTTGTGATGTTTCCTTTTATGAACAGGATGGGGAGTAAAGCCAATAGTGACTGCAGCCACATGACAGCTGATTCCTGACTCCACTTACCGCAGTTTTTTGTGGTGATAATCACCTGTTGTTCCTCTTTCAGACATTGATGTAGATCTTGTGGGCGCATTTTGGCAGTGTGGGCATTGTACCCACTGCACCACCTGACAGTGGCACTGCCTATACACCATATTACTCCATTCTCCATGCATACTGTCTGCGTTGAGCCCGACAGTCTGGCTTGTGAAGCTGACAGACTGCACTGCTGTGTTTAATAATATGACATATTGTATGTTGGCACTGAAACACTCCGGGCTGGCCATGGTCGCGTGTGACCTTCAAACAAGTTCAGTGACGCGTATCTGAACATCGCTTCGGAGTGCTGACGTTTGCATCGACTGCCGACACCGCAGTGCCGTTCAGTGTTACTCCTGTCAGAGATTGCTGTCTAGCACGCGAAGGCCTGCATTACCATAAGTCCGGGCCGGCTCCGTGTAGGACATGAGGCGGCGCGACACTGGTGCTGGCGCCGGGCGGCGGGGTACAAGAGGGTGTACAGACCAGAGCTCGGCTCAGTGGGACCTACCTACCACTACAAACGCAGTGCCCCTGCTCATGGCAGTCATATTCCCTGGCCAATTCTGATTGGGGAGACAGTTTGTCCAAATAGCCAGGATGTTGAGGTAAGATGTATCACTGTTTTGTGACTTGTCTGTTGATTTCTGTGAACTAGGGCTGCCGATAGTGTAGCGGTGAGCGCGTCTGCGTCAACCACTGTGCGTCTGGGACGCCAGAGGTACGGGGTGCGATTGCTCGCGGCGCCCGACCTTCCGTAAAGCCCCGATGTGTCGTAAAGCCCCAATGACGACGACTAGCTTTGTGGAGTGAAAGCAGCGGACCGGCTGCAGGCCGGCCACCGATCGGCTGCCGGCCGGCCACGGATCGGCTGCCCTGTTATGGCGGCGCCAGGGTCTGCGGCTTTGATTGATGTCCCGGCCATATTGCCGCGCCAATCGCCGGCAGACCTGCAGACCTTTCCTGTGAAGTGGCTATCAAGCAGGATCAGTCCGGAGCCCTCCCCTCCCCCCCCCCTACGTCCCTTCCAGAGCGTTTTGGGCGCCTGTGGCTGGTGGGCGACTAGTCACGAGGTACCGGGAATCTCACCATTATGGGAAGGTCTGGTAGTTTTGCACCAGCTCCGGTTACATTCGCAATGTCCGGTTGGCAAAATCGTTATCCTCACGGTTGCTTCGCGTGTCGTCGGCCGCTCCATGACATTGAACTCGACATGATGGCACTGGCATAGCCGCACTACTATGGGCAGATGGCTGGAGGGTATCAGCGACGCGTCCCAGCGTCCTGTCGTATGCGCACACGCTGCCATTTGTACGTCGTCTTTTGGCGAGTTGTGTCGAGTCTGGTCAGTGCTGAGGACGAGCCGGACACGAGCGGGCGGTGGGCCGGGCCGTTGGCCTTCCCTCGCCGGCCACTGTGTCGGATACGGCCGCTCGGCCGCCGCCGGGTCGGGAGGCGGCGCGTGGCGCCCCCCCCCCCCCCCCCCCCCCTGGCGCCTGGTAGTGGCCGGGACGCCGGGTCGGGACGCGGCGCGTGGCGGCCCCTCTGGCGCCTGGTTGTGGCCGGGCCGCCAGGCCGGGACGGCTCCGGACTCTCCGCTCACGTTCTCCGTAGTGGTGACGTCACCTGATGATGCTGCTGTGAGTCGTCTGTGGGGCGGCGCGTGGACCAGCTGCCAGCGGCCGTGAAGAGCCGGCCGCCTGCGCCGAGGCGGCCGGCTCTGATGACGCGTGCTCCAGCGCCGGCGCTGTCTGTAAGCTTTCTCTAATTGCGGCAGTCCTGTTTATCCCCGTGGGTCGTTGTTTGGTGTTATTTATAGATGGGCCAGCTTACGTCACGCTCGCCCATCGTCCAGCGCCCGCTCCGACCAACACCGTCATCGGGTGCTGCTGTCACATAGAGCGAGCGGCTTCTCGACGGCAGTCGACGTCTGTCTCCAGCAGACCAAGACGGCGATGGTGGGGCATTGCGACCGCATCATATGGGCCTGGCTCGCATCGTCACACACTATGTCTGTCCGTCTCCAGCGGGCGTGGCCTCTGTCGCACGCTGTCCCTGTTCACTTTGGGTGGGCGGGTTCGGGATGTCACGCACCGGCTCTGTGTGTGTGTGCCCAGCTGAAGTGGTTACGCCCGTGGTGTCAGATGTTGTCTTTGTGCCCTGGGCTGAGACTGACAGGATCCGTGCAGCTCACACTGCCGGTGTTTGCCCGGCGGAAGTGGGCGCCTTCTCTGGCGTTCAGTGCAAGCGGGCGGTGTCCCTGTATCACACGCTGCCGACATGTACCAGGCTGAAGCGGGTCTGTGTCCCTACACTGACGCCGCCGCCAGTCTGGGGCCTCTGTTGCACTCTGGCCGCCGGTGTGGGGCCCGCTGCAGCGACGCGGTCTCGGCGTCGCAGCTGCCTGTGTCGGCTCACCGGAGGCTGATAAGGCCTCTGTCAGGTCTCTGTCCGTGTGCGGCTGACGGGTGGCCTGTTGAGCTCGGCGCCGGACGTAGCCGCCTGTGCCGGACGGCTGCTGTAGCCGTCTTTGGCCGGACGGCTGCCGTAGCCGCCTGTGCCGGACGGCTACTGTAGCCGTCTTTGGCTGGACGGCTGCTGTAGCCGTCTTTGGCCGGACGGCTGCTGTAGCCGTCTTTGGCCGGACGGCTGCTGTAGCCGCCTCTGGTCGGACGGCTGCTGTAGCCGTCTTTGGCCGGACGGCTGCTGTAGCCGCCTCTGGTCGGACGGCCACCGTAGCCGCCTCTGGTCGGACGGCCGCCGTATCCGCCTCTGGCCGGACGGCCGCCGTATCCGCCTCTGGCCGGACGGCGGTCGCTTCTTGCAGCGGACGGCGGCCCGGCGTCTGCGCGTCACTTATCTCTCGGCGTGGCCTGGCCGCAGCTGGGGCTGCAGGAGCCGCTCCGAAGCCAGCTGGGAGGCCTGCTCGGCCCCAGCCAGCCGTCGCCGAACACTCACCGGCTCGGCATGCGGAAAGCTGGTCGGCACTTGGTGTCGGTTGTGTTTTTGCTTAGTCTGACGACTTCATCTGGGCTCAAGGGTGACTCTGCCATGCACGGCGGTTTTCCAGTTTGCGTGAAAATCATACGTTGGAGAATAGCACATATATATATATATATATATATATATATATATATATATATATATATATATATATGACGTGTGCCGCGGCGAAACGTGAGAACAGTGCTCACCGATAACATTTTGGCTGATAATAATGACTCTAGGCAATCTTAGTACGGTTTGTTTGTGCCCCATTGGAAGATGCACTTGTCAGGGCGGGTCGAATCAGTCCATTTCACTGAGGCGTGGGCGGTTGCGGGCGTTTCTGCACGCGTCGGGCGTAGGCCGCTGTAATCGCGTTGTCCGACACTCTCCCCATGAACCGGAAGCCCGTCCAATGGCGCGTAATCGGCTAGGTGGTCGCTGTTACGGCGGGCTTCCCCGTCAGGCAGCTCAGCTGGAACTGGGAGCGTGCAAGCCAACGGCCGGGGCGCTGGCGCTGTGCGGACCGACTCATATACGGCCGCTCCACACCCGCCACTTTTCATCGGGTAGCGTTGCGGTACGGTGCGCGGCGGAATGGAACTGAGCGTAACGCTGGAACGAATGAGATTCTCCAGCGCGCCCCACACCGTAGCCTACCTTCGAGGCGGTAGGGTGCAGGTGGAATTCATTCGCGGCAGACGAAAAACAGTCATTTCAATCGACGTTTTCGGCTCATCGCAGGGAACTCTCTGGAACACCCTATTGCCTGTGGTCTCGACTAGTTGCTTTTGGTCCCGGCGATATTTTGTATTGCGTGATGATGGCTGCTACACTCGTCGTCAGCGGCGTTTCGCCTCGCCTTGCGGCGCTACGCCACGCAGTGTCAAGTGACCAGTGTGTGGCGGCCTTCAAGTCGCAGGAGCGGTCCTTGCCTTCGCTAATACCGTCACAGGGGGTTTTGTTATGAGAAGGACGCAATATTTGTGTTTTGACTGATTGTCGGTTTTTTGCTGCGCGGGTGAGTGAGGAGACGTGCGCTGTCCGTGCTGACGTGTGCCGCCGCGCTTGGTCTGCCGCAGCAGACCGCGGAAGCGGCGATGTCGGGTACAGCGGCGGAGGGTATGGCCCGCTCCAAACTGGGAATAGGGCTTGAGCCTTGAAGTCAACTGCAGCATCAGATCTTTGATTAATACGTTAAGTCTACGTCTGGGAAACCAGAGGTACGGGGTTCGATTTCCCGCGGTGCCCGCCCTTCCTGCCAGGGTGAGAGGCAGGCGACGCCACATAGTCTCAGCAGCTGAGTGCGTCGCAAAGCCCCAATGACATGACACACACAATGCGTTAAGTCTTTCCTTGGGAGGTTTGCCTTTCAGCAACCAACCGATGACTATTCTACTGGGCTAGTTGGAGAAGTTTGATCCCACTGATCTTGATGCACGGGTTGAGTGCTTTTAATCAGCCATCTCTCGATCACACAGCACACCTTCTGATCGGTCATCCGTCCATCACACAGCACGCCTTCTGATCGGTCATCCGTCCATCACACAGCACACCTTCTGATCGGTCATCCGTCCATCACACAGCACACCTTCTGATCGGTCATCCGTCCATCACACAGCACACCTTCTGATCGGTCATCCGTCCATCACACAGCACACCTTCTGATCGGCCATCCGTCCATCACACAGCACACCTTCTGATCGGTCATCCGTCCATCACACAGCACACCTTCTGATCGGCCATCCGTCCATCACACAGCACACCTTCTGATCGGTCATCCGTCCATCACACAGCACACCTTCTGATCGGGCCATCCGTCCATCACACAGCACACCTTCTGATCGGCCATCCGTCCATCACACAGCACACCTTCTGATCGGCCATCCGTCCATCACACAGCACACCTTCTGATCGGTCATCCGTCCATCACACAGCACACCTTCTGATCGGTCATCCGTCCATCACACAGGACACATTTGATCGTCATCTGTTGATCACACAGCGCACCTTTTGACCGCACATGTTTCCATCACACAGTACACGTTTTGATCGGTCATGTCGATCGCACAGCGCACCTGGCCTTACTACCCGACGACGACTGTCAGTAAGTCACCCTAAGGCATGTACGAGTGGCGGTAATTTGGTGGCCTTCCCCCTCGGAGCAGGCGCTGGCCCTCCCCAGTATTTATCCCGCGTCAGTGACGGCGTGCTGCCGCTCGGTGCTCTCTATCTTCTGGTCTCCCGGCGCCGTGGACCTCCCCCGGCGCCATGGACCTCTCCCGGTGTTTGTAGACCTTTCCCGGCGCCATGGACCTCTCCCGGCGCCGTGGACCTCCCCCGGCGCCGTGGACCTCCCCCGGCGCCGTGGACCTCCCCCGGCGCCACGGACCTCTCCCGGCGCCGTGGACCTCTCCCGACGCCGTGGACCTCCCCCGGTGCCGTAGACCTTTCCCGGCGCCGTGGACCTCCCCGGCGCCGTGGGCCTCTCCGCCCAGACTTGCGATCGACCGGTTGATCGGACGCGGCGCGCCCTACATCCGTGTCGACGGACCGCGGCCGGCCTCGGCGCCCCGACGTCGCGCCCCGCCGGACGCTCGAGAGCGTGCGTTCGGCGAATCGGGCCAATAAATACCGCCGGACAGACTATCTGGTGGTGAGCCGTCACCCCCTTTCCTCCCCCTCCTCGCCTTCTCCCCTCTGTCACCGGGCTGACACGGCGTCTGTGCGTCACCGGTTAGCGCGACAGTGGGTACAGGGTGTGGGGGGATGACGTAACTGCCGCATCGTGCGACATCATTGCGGTTGGGACCGACACATTAGCACGCATCGATGAATACGGCAAGTGGTTCAGCAATGGGATACCACTACTTCTTCCAGATCACAGCAGCCTGGCCTGTCGGGAGATAACGTTTTGGCCAACTTACTGAGACGTTGATCATAGTCATGCCCGTGACGTATTCAGGAAGGCTGACACATATAATCCGTTCTCTTGTGCTTGAGATATCGTTTTGTTCACGTTTGTGGCGTGTTTACTCCTCTCGTCGTCTGCCTGGCGTCCATACTTGAGACTGTGGATCTGAAGTGGCGTCTGGCTGGACGGTACGTTGTGGGTGACGGGCGGTGAGCGCCGGCCTCTTGTGACGGTAAGCTGTGGGTGACGGGCAGGGAGCGCCGGCCTCTTGTGACGGTAAGCTGTGGGTGACGGGCAGTGAGCGCTGAGCGCCGGCCTCTTGTGACGGTAAGCTGTGGGTGACGGGCAGTGAGCACCGGCCTCTTGTGACGGTATGCTGTGGGTGACGGGCAGTGAGCGCCGGCCTCTTGTGACGGTAAGCTGTGGGGGACGGGCAGTGAGCGCCGGCCTCTTGTGACGGTAAGCTGTGGGTGACGGGCAGTGAGCGCCGGCCTCTTGTGACGCCCCTCGCCCGGCGCCGCCGCCAGGTCACTCAAGGAGACCAAGTGGGACGAGATGAACATCATCGCCACCTTCCACCCGGCCGACAAGGACTATGGCCACATGAAGATCGAGGAGCCCAAGACGCCGTTCAACTACGTCTGTGCCCAGGAGGACGCGTTGGACGGCGGCGTTGACTCGGACGTGCTCGCGCAGAAGTGAGTCAGCGACGGCCAGGCGGGGCGCCGACCGTCGGCCCGGAGCCGGCTGGCGGTGACCGCTGCGTCGGTACGGTTCGGGGAGCCTGGGAGTGCACAGCTGCTAGCGGGGGCATTCAGAGCGCCGGCCGCCAGCCCGCAGGCGACAGTGGGTGCTGGTGAGGCGGGCAGCGCCCTCGGCTCATCGGACGCCACATTGGCGGCGCCGCCACCCCGCCTGGCACGCCCGGCGGGGCAGGCGTTCGGCGGGAGCTCAGTATGCTTGGCAGGCGGCCCCAAAGGCCTGTTCGTTCCCTGTGCACTGCCCTGGTCATGTCTGCGCTGATGAAGATTCATGTCTCCATTGTCTCTGCGGCAAAGGCAGGCATTCTGAACGCAATGAGAATAGGTCACAAATAGATGAGGGCGTAGCCGAGGTTATTTTGTACTTGTCCGTGGTGGGGTTTTGCCGTTCCAGTACAGGGGTGGGTCATTATTTTTTCGAAACTAAGACTGAGCATTCCGTTTCGTCTCCGGATATTTAAAAAGCACGCTTGAATGCTGCGTTTCAACATCAAAGTGTCACATAAAATGTCAAACATGCGTTCAGGCGAATGCATGGGGATGGAATGTACGCAATGGTCGCATTGTGCTCCGCATCGCCAGAATACCGGGTGAAGGAGAAACGGCATTGTTGAATGTCGGTGCAGGAAATTGGCTATTTTTTCGCCGCCTCTGACAATGAGTACTGCAGCAAGGTAACATACTCAAATATATGCCGTAAGCGAAGCTCATGCCGTCTAGTCCATCGGTGGAACATTGCGTTTTCACACGAATACCACGAAATATCTCCATATAATGTCATATATATCATAATATATATGGAGAGCGATCCTAGCGATGTAGCGATTCTGTGCATTGTTATTTTTAGGCTGGATCGTATGGGAGACGGGTTACCGGGCAGCGTACCAGCAGCGCGGGTCGGCGTGCCTCCCCTCTCACCGACCGGTTTCAATGGATCGGGCTTATTCGGCATGATCCCCTCGCACGTGTCATATCAAATTGAACTCTGGGATATAGTGTCTGATTGCTCATTACCAATTGGCACCGTGGTTCGTGTCAATGTACGTGCAAGTTCACCGCAGGACCTGGCGCCCTCCTGTGCTGCCGGCGCGGAGCAGCGACGCCGCAACACCTACGCAGCCCCGCTAACAGCGGCAGCAGCAGCAGCTTTCAAGGGTCGCTCCGCCGACCGTCCAAGCTCTGCTCGGCTGTTTAGGCGCATGGCAAATATTGCCAGACGGCTTACAAGGCATCGTCAATGAGGCAACGCCACGTTGAGCTGACTATTTTATGGGCATGCCACGTGGTCCATAATAAAGTCCCTCGTCTAAGTGCCTGGGCTGGTGCAATCAGCCATAACGTTAGAAGGCGTGGCTTTGGCTGATCGTTTCGTACACACATTTGACGGGCCCCATCCACCATAGTTGGCGATTCTGAACGACATGCGGATCGGCAGCCAGAAGCAGAGTTGTACCTGAGCGGCATGACCACGTATGCAGGTATCATTCTAAACTAATCGTCTGTGTGCACGTTATCCAGACTATGTCCCTTAGCAAGGCAGCAGCAGCAGGACTACCAAATGCGGGAGCGTTAACGTGGCAGCACCATTAACTCATGCCGATTGGGCAGCCGCACCTTTTCTTGTTGCCGATCGGGCAAAATTGGGCCGACTTTATACCGATTAGGCAGACGCTTTTATGCGTGAATTACAGCCTGAGATTCGACCGGCTGACTAGAGACAGTGCCGTCGCTTGTCTGCACTGCAGTGCATGCGCCACGCTTTCGCTGATCGCGGACTGCTGCAATGTTGGGAAGTGGTGCTACCATTGCCTAAGCTGCGCCGTGTCGTGGGCTGCGTGAGCGCCGACGGTACTGGCCGCTTGTGGCCATGTTATGGCACGTTTGGCTGACGATGTGCCGGCGTCGCGTCACTGATCGCGGCCGCGCTAGCCCCCACTCCGTGGTGGGACGCCGCACCGCCGCCGGCGCTGGCGGGGCTCGCGTGGGGACGCGGGAGGGGCAGGCGCCGCGCGGCTCCGTGTCCAGCGGGCGCACTGACGCGTCCGACCCAGCCCGAAGCTGGCCGTGTCGCGCCGCGCTGGCCGCCACATGCCGCGCGGCCGGCCGGGGTCCAAACACAACAACGAGCGGCGGCCGCGTGTCGCCGGTGAGGGGGCGTCAGGCCGCCGCCCGCCGCCGGCTCGTGCTGACGTGCCGTGCACGAGCGCCGGGCTTGTGACAAGGTGGCGCGGCACCGGGCCTCATCACCGTGCAGAGGTCACGTGCCGCCGTTGGTGCAAGCGGCCGCTCTGCCGAGCCGAGCCCGGCGCGCCAGCCATGGCCGGCCGGCGTCTGTTGACGGGGGCGGCCGGGCTCGATCAACGGACGCCTGCTGCCGGCCGGCGGCATTGTTCAGTCACTGATCCATTGTTGACACTGGCCGGATATTTGGGCCTCGTCGACTGCCGCTGGCTTGGCCTTTGACTGCCGCTGGCTCTGGCTGCAGGATACGACTGGGCGCTGACCAGCTACCCAAGGCCATGGAGCAGGTGGAGGAGGAGAGTGACGAAGATCTGGAGTCGCTCACGGAAGAGGAGAGAGGTAAGCAGCCACTCGTGCGGCAGAAGTGCCGCTCCAGCCGTGCTGGGTGTTGTATAGAGCATGTGCTCTCATGATGCCGTGTATGATTCAGATACGTGGCTTCTTCCTTTGGACAGATTCTTATTATCTCCCGCTGGTTTTCATCTGCGCACCGCCGGCTTATTTCGCTGCCACACCTGTCGTAGCCGGGACGGTCTGCTGGCGCTTCTGCGCCCCTTCCAAGCCGACGTAATTACAAGCTGCGCCTGTCGACGGCAGGCCACTGTGCACGGCCGGCCGGGTCTGTCACGCGAGCGTGTCTGGCTCGATCGGAGCGGCCTGTGGGTGGCGTCCGTGAGCCGGCGGTTACGGCCCCGCCGCGCCGGCCTCTCCGGAGCTAGAGACCGGCCGTCGAAATCGATCCTGGCCGCCGCCGCCGCCCGCCGTAAGGTCCAAAGTGGCGCCGGTGGCCGCCGGCTGGCGGACCGCCGCTCCCCCTCCCCCCCCTCCGCTCCGTGGCGGCGCCGGCAGATGTGGCCAGGCGATATTGGCCGCAGCGTGCTGCACCGCTGGCGCCGGCGGCACGGCCCTGCTAAGGGTGGCGCCGTCCGAGGGCTGTCTGGAGGGGCCCGAAGCGTGCCAGAAGACGGAACGGCATGCAACAGCTGTGGGTATGGGTTTGGACGAGCTGCCTGCGTCTCTCGCTTATCTGCAGCTGGGCTAAATCGAAGATGTCATCGACTGAAGGGCCTTTGAAGGCCTCGCAGCCACCGCACGGCCTGTAACGTGCTCGCACCGCGCAAAACGTGGCCTGTCGGACTGCAGGACAAATTCTGAGAAGGCACGAAACGCCCAGCTTACAATTGACAGGCTTTTTGGGGCGTTTGATCGGTGTGCTTGTGGTCTTGAAGCGCATGCTGGTTATGTCTTATTGGATGTTATCCGGTGTGTGCGGACGACTTGATCCGTCGGAGCGGCGTCTGCTTTTGACCTGATCCGGCGGAGCGGCGTCTCTTTTGACCTGATCCGGCGGAGCGGCGTCCTGCTGTTGTGTTGCTACACTGATCTGTTTCATGGTGTGTGGCGGTGATAAGTGTAGAGTGAGACAGCATTGGTGGGAGGAGCCGTTATTATTGAAAAGACATGCATGGCGCGGATCATGGCGGGGCATGCCATTGCAGCAGCGGCGTATGCTGCAGGATTTTATCGCCGTCATTTCGGACAGCACTGTCGCCCCCACGTGTTAGGTGGTATTGTCGGCCTCCATTCACGCTCCACCGAGCCGTAGATGTTGCAGATGGATGCAGAGAACATATGGAATACGACACGCATACACGCAACACCACACCCAACAGCACGCGCGGCGCGCGCCAGCTCACGTCAGACAGTTGTCGCGCGGGTGGCCGGGAGCGGCCTGTGCACCGATGCTTTGACAGTCTGTTACCCGCGCGGCGCCCGAGCATGAGCCAGCGCAAACCAATGCCACATTGTGTGTGCGCACCAGGGCAGAGTAAAACAGGGGCGACCGACCGACCGACCTTGTTGTTGTTCTCATCACTCCCCGGTTGCTGCACAGGTCTCCGCACATCTGGAATCTGCGCTCTTTGTCCAGTCAGTTCTGGGATAGATCATGACCAGTGCAGGTTTCCACGCAGTCACATCATTAGCGAGCTCCAGACGGCTGCTGGGCCGCTTGGTGAGATGCAATGGCGGACTCAGGCTGTCCCGGCCCTGCCTCGCTGTGCGGAACGGTGCGGCAGGCTCTCCCCGGCTCTGGGAGTCGACAGTGGCCGGCGTGCAGGATCAGACGACTTCCCTCTAGAGCCGGGGTAGTGCTGGGTCCCAGACTTGTGGCTCTCCCCGGCTCTGGGAGTCGACAGTGGCCGGCGTACAGGATCAGACGACTTCCCTCTAGAGCCGGGGCAGCGCTGGGTCTCAGAATTGTGGTTCTCCCCCGGCTCTGGGAGTCGACAGTGGCCGGCGTACAGGATCAAACGACTTCCCTCTAGAGCCGGGGGAGTGCTGGGTCCCAGACTTGTGGAGTCATTCGGAAGCTCCTTCACTGTCGCTGTGGCTGTTAATGGGCGTGTTGGTGTGACGTTGGGCCGTCTCGGCCCGGGCACGCCCCCAGCTTCATCTCACCCGGGGGATCCGAGCCATCTCTGGCCCGTCCATCTCGTGCTGTTGGCGCTTAAAAACGGGAGGGCGCATCGAGCTGCTGGTGCGCCTCGACGCTGCAGGCCGGGTGCGAGCGGCTGTGCGGGGCCCGGCAGGTGGGCCCGTCGCAGGGCGGATGCGGGCGGCCGTGCCGGGCTCGTGAGGTGGGCCCGTCGCCGGCCGGGTGCGAGCGGCTGTGCGGGGCCCGGCAGGTGGGCCCGTCGCCGGCCGGGTGTGAGCGGCCGTGCCGGGCTCGTGAGGTAGGCCCGTCGCCGGGCGGGTGCGAGCGGCTGTGCGGGGCCCGGCAGGTGGGCCCGTCGCAGGGCGGGTGTGGGCGGCCGTGCCGGGCTCGTGAGGTGGGCCCGTCGCCGGCCGGGTGCGAGCGGCTGTGCGGGGCCCGGCAGGTGGGCCCGTCGCAGGGCGGTAGCATCCGTCTCTGGGCGATGCCGACACGCACGCCGCACATGGCGCATGCCCCGGCCCATTCGCTGCACGTCAGCACCATGATACGAGGCTGGCGGCGCGGAAGCCTTCACTTTATCGGACAGGCATCAAGCCGACCGCCCTGCGTATTGCTGATGCGTTGCTTAGTCAAGCGAACGCACTGAGTAGTTTTAAGACGCCTTTTGTACGGGAAGGCAGCTGAGCTTAGTGTGGGGACGGTGACTACGGCTTGCCTGCTAAGCGCTCCTCGTCGCCGCGGAAGGAGTTCGGGCTAATAGACAGGACGGCTCGGGTTACCGCCCGTGGTGAGCTGGTGACACGACTATCTTATCTCCGTCTGCATTATCGACGCTGCCAGCTCCGTATCGGCCGGCCGGATTAGCTGGGTCTGGCTGCCTGTCGCCGAGGCCGGCCATGACGACGGCCCACCTCGCCGCCGCCCTGCGGCGTCGAGCGGCGGCACGGTCTGGTCCGGCCGGCTGGTGCGAGCCGCCGGCTGCCAGCGTCGCTCCCGGCTCCTCGCGCTGGCGAGTATTTAGTGGACGCGTTATGTCCCACCGGCCGTGACAGGCTGCCAGTGGTCGGCGCGGTGTTGTATGAACGGATTCGTCCGTCGTCACTGCCGTGTGGTGCTTGCGTGGCTGGAGCGGCTCCGTGGTGACCGCGCGCCCCAGCGTGTTTGGTGCCTTTTACTCAGAGTGGACCCACTGCGGGTACCGATAGTGTTGCGGTTATGCTTCGCGTCTGGAAAATCGGAGATTCGATTCCCCGCCGTGCCCCCCCCCCCCCTCTCCCCCTCCCCATACTTTCCAAGGTGAGAGGTGGACGACACAGCAGACGCCTCAGCAGCTGAGTGTGTCGTAGAGCCCCAGTGACGACGACGACGACGTCGGTGGCGGTGGACTGAAGTTTAGTGATTGGCTAAATTTCCTAAGGTCTGCGAATGAGCCGTTATCGGAAATCGAAGCTGCGCGTCCGCAGCCACCGCTGGGTGGCCGTTCAATCCCTGAGGCTGTGGACGGAGTGGCTGCCGGGGAGGCCGACTATCGTCCTGTGACGATGTGCGTCCCGCCGGCTGTGTGTCGCTCACTGGGCCCGGCCGCTGACTGTCGCCGCACTGCTGCCGGGGAGGCCGACTACCGTCTGTGACGATGTGCGTCCCGCCGGCTGTGTGTCGCTCACTGGGCCCGGCCGCTGACTGTCGCCGCACTGCTGCCGAGGAGGCCGGCTGCCGTCTGTGACGATGTGCGCTTCGCCGGCTGTGTGTCGCTCACTGGGCCCGGCCGCTGACTGTCGCCGCACTGCTGCCGGGGAGGCCGACTACCGTCTGTGACGATGTGCGCCCCGCCGGCTGTGTGTCGCTCACTGGGCCCGGCCGCTGACTGTCGCCGCACTGCTGGCAGAAACACGACGGAAGTTCGAGGCCAAGCGTAAGTCGCACTACAACGAGTTCTACGCGGTGAAGTTGGCGCGTCAGCTGATGGAGAAGGACGAGGAGGAGGAGGAGGAGGCGGCGGAAGAGGAGGGCGGCGCCGGACCCTCGTCCGCCCCGGACGAGCCCTCGTCGACGTCCGACGAGCCGGCGGCGCCGTCCAGCTCGTAGGCGCCGTCTGCCGGTCGGGCCGGGACGCCACGCCCCACATTGTGTACCACTTGTTTTGCAAAAGCGCGCGCGCTTTGATGATCCAGTCCTTTGTGATACGGTTTAGCGTACTACGGCGAGGCTGCTGGGTGGCTGTGTGGGGCTGTCGGCCCCGGCCGGCCGGTCAGTCAGTCTAGTCCCATCAGCGGCCGGGTCCACAGCCGAGTAAGTCCTATCCCGCTGTCGGGCCGGCGGGCCGGCGGCGTCCCGCGGGAAGCCCGGGACTGGCGAGATAGTCTGGTCTCGCTGTCAGTCGGACTGACCTGTGCGTCGGCGGGTGACGGCGTGACGCCGGCTGGCCGGCGTGTCGGTGAAGCCAGGCGGCGGGCCCGACTAACCAGGGGACCAGCCCGAGCCCGAGCGTTCCCCGCCGGCCGACCGGCCAGCGCTGGCGTGCGATCTCGTGGCTGGTTGGAGCTGCCCGGCCGCTGGCGGAGCGGGACGGGTCGCTTGTGGCCGTTTCAGACCGGCGCCGCCGCGTGTGACCTGCCGCCCCGGCGCGGCCGGGCCGGAGACCGGGCCGCTCTGCCGGCACACAGCGGCGCACGCGCGCGCGCGCTGACGACTGTTTGTACCGCTCGTGGATGCAGATAAATGTGTGATGAGACCTCGGCGCCCGCGGCCTTGTCAGCGTGCGACGAATCTGCTGATGTGAACGGCGCTTGGAGCCCGCCCGCTCTCCTGCCTTCCCGTCTTAGGACTCTGTTGCATATATCCCACGCGGTATAACGGCAGCGTCCGACTCTGACGCCGTGTCGCCTTCTCTTGATCATTTCCTGTCCCCCGCTCACTCAGGCTGCATCACAGGCTGGAAAGTGCAAATTTGGTGGTCTTATAGCATATTAAAGAATCTTGCTCGACCAGGGTCAACGCGGCTGCTTTGGTGATTGCCACCCGCGATGATGTGCGACTGTGTACAGATATGGACGGTTCGGAGTGTAATGGCTAGAACTGTCGCTGTCAGCACTGGTACTGGCTCATAATTAGTGCGTGCCGTCGCCATGCTGGCTTGCGGGAGGCGATGACGCGGGCCGCCTCGGACTCCGAGAGCTGGCGCGCCTGCTACTGCTGGCTCGATTCCCTCGATTCGGTTCGGTTGTCGTTGCAATAAATGTTCGAATGACCGACCGTCAAGTGTATGTAGTTTGTCGCCTGCGCTCCGCCCGCCCTACCAGGCGGACCAACATCATCCGGCGTCGCCTGTGCCCCGCCGCCCTACCAGGCGGACCAACATTAGCCGGTGCCGCCGACGGCCTCTGCCTTGGCTGACCAACTGCGCCCCGCCTTCAAACTCGATCATGCTGCAAAACGATCGTGAGACATCACCGGGGTGTACAGCGTCGCCTTCAGTCCGCTTGAGAGCAGAGTTCGCCTGGTGGCTGGGGCTGGTACCGCCGCCGCCTGCCGCGGGTCAGCCGGCAGCCCGGCGCCCTGGGGCTGGTACCGCCGTCGCCTGGGGGACGGGATGCTGGGGGACTGGCCGCCGCTTGCCGCAGATCAGCCGGCAGCCCGGCGCCCTGGGGCTGGTACCGCCGTCGCCTGGGGGACGGGATGCTGGTGACGGGCCGCCGCCTGCCGCAGATCAGCCGGCAGCCCGGCGCCCTGGGGCTGGTACCGCCGTCGCCTGGGGGACGGGATGCTGGTGACGGGCCGCCGCCTGCCCGCAGATCAGCCGGCAGCCCGGCGCCCTGGGGCTGGTACCGCCGTCGCCTGGGGGACGGGATGCTGGTGACGGGCCGCCGCCTGCCGCAGATCAGCCGGCAGCCCGGCGCCCTGGGGCTGGTACCGCCGTCGCCTGGGGGGACGGGATGCTGGTGACGGGCCGCCGCCTGCCGCAGATCAGCCGGCAGCCCGGCGCCCTGGGGCTGGTACCGCCGTCGCCTGGGGGACGGGATGCTGGTGACGGGCCGCCGCCTGCCGCAGATCAGCCGGCAGCCCGGCGCCCTGGGGCTGGTACCGCCGTCGCCTGGGGGGACGGATGCTGGTGACGGGCCGCCGCCTGCCGCAGATCAGCCGGCAGCCCGGCGCCCTGGGGCTGGTACCGCCGCCGCCTGCCGCAGATCAGCCGACAGCCCGGCGTCCTGGGGCTGGTACCGCCGCCGCCTGCCGCAGATCAGCCGACAGCCCGGCGCCCTGGGGCTGGTACCGCCGTCGCCTGCCGCAGAATCAGCCGACAGCCCGCGCCCTGGGGCTGGTAACCGCCGCCGCCTGCCGCAGATCAGCCGACAGCCCGGCGCCCTGGGGCTTGGTACCGCCGCCGCCCTGCCGCAGATCAGCCGGCAGCCCGGCGCCCTGGGGCTGGTACCCGCCGTCGCCTGGGGGAACGGGATGCTGGTGACGGGCCGCCGCCTGCCGCAGGCTAGCCGGCAGCCCGGCGCCCTGGGGCTGGGTACCGCCGTCGCCTGGGGGACGGGATGCTGGGGGCGGGCCGCCGCCTGCTGTGGGTCAGCAGGCAGCCCGGCGCCGGCGATGCGCAGCCAGCATCTGTTGAAGCCGGGTTTCAGAGGCCGTCCGGAGCGCTCAGTGACTCCCGAACAGCCGCAGTAATCGGCAGGCGGAGCGGCGCGGACGGCAACTTCACAGCTGGCGCTCTGCATTTCGTTGATATGTGTTGCAGAAATCTCCCCTTGCCAGGGGCGCAGCCAGAGCCTTGATAAGGGGAATACAGGGTTGATAAATGCTCTCTGATGATCAACCTTCCCCGTGAAAACACCGCGTAGGGGCCACTTGATTTCCAGGGTACGGTGCTGTTCGTATATTATTTCGCTGAAGGTACGGAAAATGTGGCTGTATTTTGAAGTCTAGAAACTGAAGACGCCAGGTGTTAAGTCACTATGTGGAATAAGCTGGCGGTGCTATTCATGTAGCAATGGTTCAGTGGATTTTTATTAAACCGGTAGAACCCGGAGGCCTTGCTTAAGGATGTGAGAAGGGGGGGGGGGGGGCAGTTGGAGCAGCTCGCCCTTCCCCCAACTTGAGGGCCTGTGGAGGATCGGTCCTGGTATGTTCAGGTCCCATTCCGAACGGTAAAGGGATTATGCAAGCCTGTAAGGGTGCATTGTCACTTGTCGAGGGCTCCTTCTGGCCCGTTGAGGCTCCATTCTGACCAACAGAGGAACCATTTTCACCTGCAGAAGGCCAGTTACTGACCGCGGAGAGTCCGTTCCGGCCTGTGGAGGCCCATTCTGATCTATAGACGGTCCATTATTGACCCAGAGAGCCCATACTGACCTGAAGGGGAGCCATTATGGCCTGTAGGGGAGCCTGTGGATGTGGACGGATGGATTCGCTGCGGATGACGTATGGTCTGTAGAGGGCCTGTTTACGTATGACCTAAAGAGGGCCCATTACAACCCGTCGGAGATCCAGAATTGACTGAGGAGGACCAATTTTGACCTATGCAGGACCCAATCTAGCTTGCAGATAGCCCATTTTGACCTGCAGAAGGCCTATTACCGACTGCGAAGCGTTCATTTTGGCATTTGCAGGGCCCATTCGAGTACCATTCTGACCTTTAGAGGATCCAATATTGACCTAAACGGTCTGTTCTAAAGGTGTAGAGGACAAGTTCCGGCCTGTTTACGGCCCATTCTAACCTGTATTGGGCCCATTCTGGTTTATAGAGATCTCACTATCTAGTCTTCGGGGTTTTTCTGGCATTTCGGATTTGCTCCCTCCCCCCCCCCCCACTCCCAAACTGAGCATAGTTCGCACGTTCCTGACTTCGACATGATTTTATGGATTCTGCAGATATTGGGGACATCGTGAATCGTGAAAAAAAATCGACATCGTGATTGTAGGCCAATATGGGATAAGCAACGTGTTTTAAGGTGGCTAACCAGCGCATGGTTGTCCGCGAGTGTTGAACCTTCATCCATAATCAATTAGCGAAAAGTCACAGCGAAGGTTTAAACGTGCGCGCTCATAAGTTCAAAACAAAACCTTAGCGTCTGGCGTAGGTAGACTACAGTCTTCGTTGGTCGCGCGGTCTCGACCCGACGACAGCGCTTGGTGGCTGACCCCCCCCCCCCCCCCCCACACACACACACTTTAGGGTGGGGGCGAGCAGTGTTTACTGCCTCCCCCGCACTTTCAGATTAAGATTGCGAATAGCTTAATTTTGCACCACATTAACATACATGCCGATTTGCTTCGCTCACCAGCCGTCTTCTTCAAGATGCGTTATCTTTTCGTCTGTTTATTGACCGTCGCTTAGCGTCACAACCACGGGCTTACGCCCCGCGGCCTATGGGGACTGCAACGCCGGGCGTCAAGGCTGTTGTTGCTATGACATGCGAGCGCGCATGGTCAAAACCATATTGCATAGTTGTTTTTTATCAGCAATCGGTTTCCGACTGAAACTTAAACATTTTAAGACGAACAGGAATTAGCAATGTTAGGACAAATTTGGGGCCCAATTTCATCTACAATCTACGTTCAGGGGGTCTTCAATATCTCTGAAGAACGCAAAAAAAAAAACATGGAACTGGAGTATATGTGACAGTTATTGGACCACCTGGACTTTCAGGTGACCGAAACAGTTGTGAACGAGAGCAAAGGGCCTATGATAAATAGAAAAAATCATTTAATGATTGGAAAAGCTGTGAAATTGAAACTTGAGGCCCCATTACACCATCTAGGGGCCCCATGCTGTTTCCGGGGACCTATATGCCCACTTGCAGGATCATTTCGATCGTTAAGGAGCATTCTATGTTGCCCTTAATTTCTTTGCATTTGCTAGGAGGACCCTGCGCTGTTGTTGGGGCCCTTTCTGTTAGCGTGACGGGGCACTCTTGTCGATCACGGGCCCTTCCACGGATTCTTTCCATTCGCCAGAAAGGCTCTGTGAGCTACAGCCGGGGTATTCTCAGTTGCTCGGGGGCCCCTTTACGTGGATCCCGGTTAACCTACCGACATGCGCGATTGCCCATACATTGGTCTAAGGCGTTTCCAGTTTTCCGTCACATGCTTAGGGCCCTGCACTTTTGTCGAGGGCCCATCTGATGGCCTGCTTGGGCGCACTCAGTCCGTTCGAGGACCCTCCACACTGGGTATTGGACACTTCTTTCTGAATGGTGGGCCCTACACTTTTGTGGGGAGGTCTATCTGATAAACTGCTCGGGCACATTCGATCGTTCGAGGGCCCTCTGGCGCACTCAATTATTCGCTGCCCTCTGCCTCGTGTCGTGGGTATTCCATATTTGAGCGGAAGGCCCTACGCTCTTGCCGGGACCCCCATCTGTAAACCTGCTCGGGCACGCTTGAATATCCGGGGGCCCTCCACATTGTGTCTTGGGTACTTATCTGAATGGAGGGCCCTACGCACTTGTCTGGGGGCCCATCTGTTTGATTCCTCGGCTACACTGGATTGTCCGGGGCCCCTGTTTATTGGGTATTGGCGTTTGAATTTAAGGCACTACACTCCCTTTCGGGTCATCTGATAACCTACTCGGGTACCCTCCATCTTTCGGGGGACCTCCGCGCTAGGTTTTGGGTACTTCGTATTTGAATGAGAGGCCCCGCGCTTTTGTTGGGCCCCTTCTAATAACCTGCTCGGGCACATTCCATCGTTCGATGGACCATTTATACAGGGTCTTGGGTGCTTTCCGTTTGAATGGAGGGCCTTCCGCTCTTGTTGGGAGCCCTATCTGTTAACCTGCTCTGGCACATCCGATTATTCGGGGGCTCTCTTCGTCGGATCTTGGGTGCTTCCTGTTTAAATGGAGGGCCCTACGCTCTTGACTGGGACCCTTTGTTTCGACCTGCTCGGGCACACTCGATCGTTGGGAGGCCTACATATTTCGTCCTTAGTATTTCTTATTTTAATGGATGACACTATGTTCTTGTGTGTGAAGCGTTCATATTGGCCAAGGTACAAGAATGTCCAAACGTACAGAATGTCCGAAGTACACAATGTCCAAATTGCAGAATGTCCAAGGCACAGAATGTCCAAAGTACACAATGTCCGAGATGAGAAAAAACTTCCAGAATGGCGCAGGGTGGAAGGGGTCCGTTTCATAATGCCCAATGTACAGAATGTCCAAGGTACAGAATGTCCAAAGTACAGAATGTCCAATGTACGTATTGTCCAAGGAACAGAATGTCCAAGAACCAGAACTCCC